CTACACCAAGTATTTGTTCAGGTTTGGAAGGTCCCACGGATGTTCTGAGACTATAGAGGGATGACTTTAACTCTAACCCAGGTGACACAACTCTGTATCCCAGGAACCATACATTTCCTCTTTTCCCCTCTCCATCTCTAGTCAAGCACTAAATTTGGTATTTGCTTCAGATTCCAGTCAGAGAAGGAAACCGGGGATCGGAATTATGCCATCGGCTATTACCTCAAGGAAAAGAAGGTAATGGGGAGAGGCCAGTAGAGAATCACTGAGGGTTCTGCTGCTAGAGGGCAGAGGGTATGGACTGTGTGAGACCCTGGCAGTGAGACATCACGCGTCCACAGAGACTTCTTAACCCTGCTCTCCCTTGCAGTGCTTCCCTAAGGGAGTAGACATGATGGCTGCCCTTGACCTCTATTTCCAGGTAAGCAAACACTCTCAGGGCCAAGGGTACGGGACAGATTGCCCTCTTATTGCACATTAGACACTCCTCTCTAGTGAAAGAAGAGCATTCTTCACTTCTGCATTCATGCCCACACTGCCCTTTGACCCCTCTCTCTTTTCCTAGCTGTGCTCTGTGGAGGTCACCTGTGAGTCGGGCAGTGTCATGGCGGCCACTCTTGCCAATGGTGGCATCTGCCCCATCACAGGCGAGAGTGTGCTGAGTGCTGAGGCAGTGCGCAACACCCTCAGCCTCATGCATTCCTGCGGCATGTATGACTTCTCTGGCCAGTTTGCCTTCCATGTGAGTGTTCCCAGTCCTGCTATCCATCTGCCATGTCCGGTGCCAAGGAGAGAGGATGGCGTGAAGATTACTCTTGCTTCCTTCATAAACATCTCAACAGGCAAATAGGCTAAGAATCCTTAGTTGGAATTTGCCAAATACGTTACATTCCTCAAATACAGAGACCCCTTTTCCATCTTAGATGTGACTTCCAAGGAGAGGCATGGTTGGTTTGATTCTCTTTTCCCCATGACAGGTTCCCACTAGCCTCAGACTCACAGTGATCCTCCTGCCTCATCCTCTAAAGTGCCGAACTACAGTTATGCCCTTACCCTTGGCCTCTTCTTGTTTGATTTGGCACTAGGGATCAAACATAGGTCTTACCCAAGCCAGGTGAGTGCTGTGCCACTGACCCTGTTTCCAGGCCCTGGAGAATTTCTGGTTGATGGATCTCAAACAGAACTGCCTCCACCTCTGTTCACAGCACCCCAGTCTTTTTCTGTGTTTGCTATAATTATTTATCTATCCTTAAAGATTTATTTTCATTATTGGGAGGGGGTTATGTACAGGTGAGTGCAGGTGCTCACTGAGGCTAGAGGTGTGCAGTCCCCTCAAGCTGGAGTTACACATGACTGTGAGCCTGCCAGTTTTGGTGCTTGGAATTGGACTGGGTCCTTTGCAAGAGAAGTTCAGGCTCTTAGTTATTGAGCCACTTCTCCAGGTCCTCCTCAGTTTTTAAAGTATACACACACTTTTAAATCCCAGCACTTGGGAAGCAGAGGCAGGACTCTGTGAGTTTAAGGACAGCCAGGGGTAAAGACAGCAGTCAGAGGCTGAGCGACTGTTCCTTGTTAGTGTACGGGGTAAAGAGAAGACAGGCAGAGGCAAATGAAAAATCTAAGAAGTTGAGGTGGGTTGTGGCCTCACCCATGCCATTACTGTCCCTCAGGTGGGCCTGCCAGCCAAGTCAGCTGTGTCAGGAGCCATCCTCCTGGTTGTACCCAATGTCATGGGGATGATGTGTCTGTCACCTCCATTAGACAAGCTGGGGAACAGCCAACGGGGCATCAGCTTCTGCCAGGTAAGTTGTTCTGCATAAATACTATTACTAAATACTATTTAATTAAAAATAAATTAATGGGGGGATGAAGAGATGGTTCAGAGGTTAAGAGCACTGGCTGCTCTTTTAAAGGTCCTGAGTTCAATTTCCAGCAACCACATGGTGGCTCACAACCATCTATAATGAGATCTGGTGCCCTCTTCTGGCGTGAAGGTGTAAATGCAGGCAGATCACTGTATAATAAGTAAAAGCATCTTTAAAAAAAATTAATGGTAGCCACTATAATTAGAGCACTGTAATTTTTGAGCTCCCAGAAAGGGCAAGGGATAAGTAAATAATTTCTTTGGCCTCTAAATCTAGAAGTTGGTGTCGCTGTTTAACTTCCACAACTATGATAACCTGCGGCACTGTGCTCGGAAGTTAGACCCCCGGCGAGAAGGAGGAGAAGTTCGGGTAAGCAAAGTTCTGGCCTAAAGGACATTTCAAAATGAAACCGCCCATAACACGTCGGCATCGACTTTGGTGAAGGGTCCACGGAGGAGGGTCACGGGGTAGAGCAAGGGTGGACTCCAGGCCATGACCGGTCTTAGGTGGGCATGCTGTGTGTTCCAGAACAAGACCGTGGTGAACCTGCTATTCGCTGCATACAGTGGAGATGTCTCAGCTCTTCGAAGGTAATTCTACTGTGACTAAATGACCGTAAGGAGATAATTACCTTCAGACAGCTTATCAGGACACTGTACAGCAAACTGCTAAAGCTTCAGGTTTATGGTTAGAATTGACACACTGCATTTAAATAAATGTGTGTGTGCACCCGGTCCTGTTGGCGCAGCTGTGTGTTTGTATGCATGTGGTGGCCAGAGGACAGTGTCGCTCCTCAGGGGTCATCCGCCTTGCTTTCTGAGACACAGTCTCACTGGCCTGGAGCGAACCCCCCTACCAAGCCCCTGGGACCTACTCCGGCTCTGTTCCCTACCACCAGTCTGGGATTACAGTCCAGCTACTTTTTTTTAACGTGGGTTGTTTGGATCAAGTCAGATCTCAGGTCCTCATGCTTTCCCGGCAAACACTTTACCCTCTCTCCAGCCTAAGGATTTGCTTGTTGTTGTAAAATCAAAGTGCCTGCCATAAGTTTGGAACTAACGGCAATCGCTGTGATTGACATGAACGCATCCAGTCTGGTCCCAATTCAGAATGCTGTCTGTGGATTCTGGACCAACATAGCTGACCCAAGCTCCTCTCTGCTACCCTCAGGTTTGCTCTGTCAGCCATGGATATGGAGCAGAAAGACTATGATTCCCGGACAGCCCTGCATGTTGCTGCAGCTGAAGGTACTTTTTGTTGTTTTTTTGAGACAGGGTTTCTCTGTGTAGCCTTGGCTGTCCTGGGACTTGTTCTGTAGACCAGGCTGGCCTCGAACTCAGAGATCTGCCTGTCTCTGCCTTGAAAGTGCTGGGATTAAGGGCATGTGCCACCACCACCCAGCTTAGATGAAGGTATTCAAAGGGTTAAAGAAGAGAGGTGGAGTGTAAGACCCCTTTTCCTTCTCCGTGTGGACCCCATCATGGTGTTCATAAAGGGCAACAGCCAATGTTGCTTACTGTTGTAGTAAATTTTAAAAATGGTTATTATTAGCCCTAAGATTATTGCAGTGGTATTATTTAACCCACTACCACAAATAATAAGATATAGACACCTGTTAGATTTATAATTGCCTTATTTACCTTGGGCCAGGCAGATATTTCACTTACACTGTCTCAATATCCTCTCCATTTATCTCTCAGCCCCCCATCCAATGCTATCCTCCTTAACCATCCTCATTTCAACTATCTTCCAACCATAATCCCATGGTACTTGCTTGTATTCTTCATCTGGGCCTTTTTATGCCATTATTGGAGTCCTTCCTCCAGGCCCACGTGATTTCTTTTCCACACTAACCCATTGTGGTGTCCTCCTTCTCCCTTTCTTCTGTCTGTATCCTGTGATTCTATCTTCAATCCAAAAGTCTGGGAACCTTAGCCACACCTACCCCATTCTCCCCTGCCCTGGTATAGGCCATTTAACCAACTAATCAGGTATGTTTGCACAACAAAGATAGGTGTACCCAGATCTTGAGGGCTAGTAATATGCATCAGACCAACCTCCAACAGTCTACAGACCCTTCAGCTGACAGATTGTAACTAGGAGCAAGGGGCAAATGTCAAGGACGTTTCTCCTCCCTCTTGGAGCAGACTCCAGCTACTAAAGGTCTACACCAAGTTCAAGACCTGCCAGTGCCCTCATTTTCCTTCTACCCATATTCCTAGGGCACATTGAAGTTGTCAAATTCCTGATTGAAGCTTGCAAAGTGAATCCTTTTGTCAAGGACAGGTGAGTAGAATTAGTCCTGAAGGGGAGGAGGGTGGCCCTGGCTGAACCTGTGTGCACACGCGCAGCAATGGTGCTCTCCACTTGCCTAACCAGCATCCTTGTTCCCCGCAGGTGGGGCAACATTCCCCTGGATGATGCTGTGCAGTTCAACCACCTGGAGGTAGTCAAGCTGCTGCAGGAATACCATGACTCCTACCTGCTGTCCGAGACTCAGGCCGAGGCAGCGGCTGAGACCCTGTCCAAGGAGAACTTAGAAAGCATGGTGTGAGCACAGGCCCGGGGCAGCCTCTGCTCAAGAAAAGGCCTGAGCTGATACACATTTAACCCACAGCCTCCAAAAATACTACAGAAAGCTGCTTCAGTCGAGATCAACATGGCCACTTGGTGACACAAGCCAATGCTTTAGTGGGAATCAAACACCCCATTCCCTCAGGGGATACCTGCAGTAGAGCTAGCCACAGAGACCTCCAGATATAGTTTAATGGTTCATCCACTCAAAAGTAGCCCAGGTCTTCACCCAGGTCCCCTTTTCCTCTCTGAAGAACCCATCAAGAGAACAAGAGACTTCCTTGGAGAGACTCTAGCATGCACATGCATCTGCCAGAGAAAGAGAAGTGGGTAGGAGCCAAAGCACCCAGCTGTAGACGTCTGCAGAGATCTGTCCCTCACAGCCAGGACATGCTGCTACTGATGACACCAATTTTATAGACAGAGAAAGTATTTTGTGTTCAAATAAACTTTAATTACATGAATTATCTTTTTTTTGCTCAATCTAGTCATTCTCTTTCTCCTTCCCCTAAGGATATCGAGCATCATCACCATCATAGTAGAATAAGACAGAACTCAGGGTCAAAGTCCAAACTATATATTTCACATACATATTCACTCATTCCACCAGGCTTTCCTCAACCCAAAATAATGCTTTGAGTTTATTCTGTGGCCATGGGGGGTGAGAGTTGTAGGTCTGAACAGGCTCCAAAATGGATTATGTCAAACTCCCCTTTTCTCTGGCTATGGATGATAGCAGAAGGAGCTTCTCCAGGGTAGTTTCCAGCACTCCAGACCACACATCTCCCTACTGTCTCTTCCCCTTCGTCACATAACTGGCACAATGGTTTTGACAACTGGCTGGGTATCCAAGGTGTGCAGAAGACAGATGGACTCAACAGTGCGGATAGCTGCATGGTTGTAGGACTGCCGTCTGTGGTATTGAGGTGCTCACTGAGTCAGGAAAGCTCTGAGGGAGCCAGGATCTGAGGTGCATCAGACAAAAGGCCATGTTTGCAGCTAACCCTCCTCCAGCCAGAGGTAGAAAGCATTTATTCTGGAGAATCTGGTGAACCCCCAAAACAAGTTACATATGGGTAAGGGAAGGAGAGGTAGCGACTCAAATGCCAGGACCCCAGGACGGGACAGTCTAAGACATCCGGGCACAGTACAAGGACCCAAGGAAGCAACTCGAGGAGAAAATTCACCCGATGATCTAGGAAACTGGCAGTAAGGAGGGCAAAGTTTGGCTGTATACCTAGCTTTCACTGGGTAAGGACCAGAGGAAGATAGCTAAAATACTGCACAAAGGATCCCAACCGAATTGTGAGCTACCAGTTGCTTGAGACAAAGAAAAACAGCTTTAGACACTAAGAACAGAAAAGTGATTGTGAGGATGATTAAGGGACTTGGACAATGGCCACATTAGAGGCCCTTGGGCACTTCAAGTCCTGAGTGGGTTAGCAGCTCTCCATCCCAAAGGGCAAAAGCGGGCGTCACTGGGCCATGGAAATCTGTCTGTAGTGTGCACAGCACAGAGCGATGGCTCACATCCACCAGGCTTAGCTTCTTGGCCTCGCAGTCCAGCAGCAGTCCCACCTTCTCCGGCTGTCCAATACCTTCAATTGGGGCTTTTTCCTTGGCCAACATGCTGTGCCACTTGCGCTGGGCATAGGAGAAGACCCAGGAGCGATCATCAGCACCGACGCAGCTGTCCCGGGACATGTCCACCTCTGCCACTCCTATCCGGAACTGCTGGGAGCGCTTCACCGTGACCTCCCAGTAGTGTCTGCCACTGGTGACAGGGGTGTCTGCGAGCACCACAGCCCACTCCCGGAAGCGCTCCACATTCAGGGCCACCCTGGTGGGTTCCAGTCCCACCAAGCCATATTTGACACCCGTGTCACCTCTGAAGAGTGCCAGGCTGCTGTGGGCAGTTTTTTCTTCTAGTTTGAAACTGATGCCTGAGCACGGGTGGGGGGTGGATGGGTGGGAGGGGGCAGAACAAAAAAAGAGTGGGTTAGAACCCTAAAGGATGGTTTTGATCTGAAGCAGTCCAGGCGATGAAGGGAAAGCGGCAAAAGTTAAACGTTAAGATGGAAAGAACGGGGCTGGAGAGATGGCTCAGCACTGGCTGCTCTTCCAAGGGTCCTGAATTCAATTCCCAGCAACCACACGGTGGCTCACAACCACCATGAGATCTGGTGCCCTCTTCTGGCATGCAGGCATACACGCGGGCACTGGATACGTAATGAATACATCTTTAAAATAATAGTAATTTAGAAAATAAAAACTAAAGTAAGTAGCAGCCGGGGCAGCCGGAGGGCGGAGAGCCCGAGGTTTGGACTCTTGCTAGACCGAGGCAGATGGGGAGAAGCGACAGGTGGAGACCTCTGAGCGCACGTTAGCTACTCTGGAGTGACAGCGTAGAAAGGAAGACGCCTACCTCTCCGGGCTTCCCCGGCAGGGGCCCCCCATCGCCTGCTTCCCCAGCGGTACACGCCCCGGCGGACGGCAAGGGGCAGCGCCATCTTGTGTCGCGGGAGCCCCGGGCACGCCCCCTGGCGGGGACGCCGGCCAATGGCGGCGCTGCGCCCGGACCACGTGGTGCGAGACGCTGTTTTCTGGTGACGCGTCGGCCTGTGTTGGGAGAAATGGCTTTCAGGGCTCTCTACTCCGGGTGGTCGGTGCTCGGTGTCTCTTATGGAGAGACCTATCGGTCATGTTACAACTAAGTAGGACCTCCAGAGAGACTATGTAACCAGAGTCTTTTCTTTTCTTTTTTTTTTTTTTTTGAAACAGGGTCTCCTGTAGCCCAGGTTGGCCTGGAACTAACTCCCTTTGTAGACTAGGCTGGCCTCCGTCTCATAGAGACCTGCCTGCCTCTGCTTCCCGAGTGCTGGGATTAAGTAGAGGCGTGTTCCACGAAGCCTGGCAGAATAAAAGAAATGTTTTTTAAAAGTGGTTTATGCCAGGGTAGTGGTGCACACCATTAATAACAGCGCTCGGGAGGCAGATGTATTTCTGAGTTCAAGGCCAGACTGGTCTATAT